CCCCCCCCCCCCATTGAGGCCGTGGGTAATCAGCCCCACTTGTCCCCCCACTAAAACGCCCCTGGTGTGAGATAACCTGAGAAATATAATTTTCATCTACTTGTGACAAGTGAAATGTCAATTCCACCACTGCACCCAGATGCACTTCAGTCTATCGTGATTAATTCAGTAAAATCCCAAAACAAGACAAATAGTTTGTGTGAGAATATTCGACGTGACACTTTATGTTGCTGAGTGAGGAGGCAGGGCATTTTTTACCGCTCAACTGGGAGAGCCTCTGAACTTTTAAAGTGCTCAGCTGTCCCAAACAGTCACATGGACGCTTACACACACACACGCACACACACCCACACATGCACATACAGACTCAGGGCTGGGCCGGGTTGGGCCTATTGGCATTACTCATCCAAAATCTCCCACCTGTTGAAGCCTCATTTGGAAAGTTCAGCATGTAAAGCACTGAACAACAGAGCTGGCAGAAAAAGACAGAAAGTGTCCCAACAAGTTTGGAGCTGCGGAGACGCCGCCTGATGGCACTGAGGACGTGAGACCACCTCACTCTGAGAAGAAGTGGACTCAAGTTTCACGGTAGGTTGCGTGAGTGATCTTCTCTCCTTTAACATTTTTAACTCCTCACTAATACTTGCTCGGCACTTGTTAGATCTCTACATGTTTTTTCGTTCATATATTCTGACATGTAGAGCAGTTTGAGAAGGTGAAACTCTCTTAACTTGTAGATGTGTTTGTGATATATATCATGTACCCGGTCACAAGTGCGTCCTGTTTTAACTTTGCAAAGATCAAGTTGCCTCTCGAGGACAGACCTCAGCGTTCACTGCATCTTGAGAACAGCTGCACTTTGTTCACTGATAATTAAAGTAATGCCAACCGTGGTGAGAAGACCTGTGAATTAATATTAATAACGCATGAGAAATGTTATCTTTTAATCTATTGTTTCTGGTTGATCATTAGCTGTAAGTGAAGCAGAGAGGAGCTGCTTCATTATGAGACACCTACAGGGATTTTCAGAGGGCACTTTTGGTGATTCCCTTCACAGCAACAGAAGTGATGCTGAAGTGTTTTCTGTCCACAGAGCCATCTGCTGGATCACACTCTGAATATCTGGAGGAACTGGACCTCGACTGACCGAGCGACACCATGGCTCATTATGACCTGTAAGTTCAGTCTGCAGACGGGACCAGGGAAGGACCAAGCTGCCTGATGTGGGTCACTGAAGCATGAATTACAAATAATCATATCCATTGCTGCATATAAGCAATCTCGTCCTTTAATGTCACATACCAGAGAGTTACTCATTTAATACTTAAAAACCTGGAATGTGACGTTCCAGTTCGACCACCATGAGAAATCTTAGTCACATATTTGTGTTTTGCATTTCAACATTTGCTTCTCTGTGTGACATTTGCTACCCGACGATGACAGGATGGATGACAAGGACTCTGTGGATATTCATGACCACCCGCCGCTCCCTGATAATGTGGTGAAAGAGGAGGACAACACGGTGAGACGTCCAACATACACAACACGCCATGTGGCACATACGTATATTATTTATCAATGCCAACAAAGTCTAACAAAATGTGTTACATTAGGAATAATTCATGTGTGAGTGTGATCAGCGTTGGAGCTTATGTTTTATAGGATTTGCTGTTCAAATACAATAAAAACTCCCGTACTTTTAGTGGCATTTAGTCTACATAAAGTTTGGGATTTATTTGCTCAGGTTTTGAGATTTCTGTCCCTTAAATTTGTGGCCAATCAGACATATAGCAATTATTTAATGCCCCAGTGTTTATTCTTTATTTATTTGTTTTAAATCGTCAAAAATTAAGTGAAGTAATTAATTTTTAAAATTTATTTTGTTTGTGTGAAATCGTTAACAACCAGTAGCAAAAAAAAGGGAAATGTTTTAAAATAGGAAAGTGGCTGAAATAAATTCTGCTGCTTGCAGACAAACACATCAGAAAACTCATATAATAAATGGACTTTAACACATTAACAAGAGCAGGTTGAGATGCATACACGGAAATTGCAGACATAACCAGTGCCATCTTTTTTTTTTTATTGTTTTCACCCCTGATTAAGAAAAGATTATGTGACATCCGGATAAATGTTAAAATCAAAATCGGGCAGCAGCCTAAAAACTATCCTCTCCTGAACTATATATATGGCCTCAAGGTTCATTTACTGTCACTGTACAACACAGGGTTGCACAATAGCAGTCGTAGAGCCTTAATGCGCAAGAAAGACAAAACAAAACTTCAGTTTACATCATTAGAGATGTAAACAGCACAAAGAAAAATAAAAAACTCAGTTAACATATTGTCAGTCATAACACTTAAAATACCTGTGGAGCCATACTTACAGGGACAGTTCACCCCAAAATCAGATATACATATTTCTCTTACCTGTAGTGCTATTTATCAGTCTAGATTGTTTTTGTGTGAGTTGCTGAGTGTTGGAGATATCAGCTGTAGAGATGTCTGCCTTCTCTCCAGTATAATGGAACTAGATGGCACTCAGCTTGTGGTGCTCAAAGTGGGAAAAAAAAAAATACTCGAAAATAAAATACTTAAAAAATCAACAGCAGTGTCTCTTCCCAGAAATCATGACCTTTTTATTCAAGATAATCCACAGACCTTGTTGTGAGCAGTTTCATGTCGGAACTATTTTCTTTCTACCGAAGTAGAAATATAACTGTGAAATATGAACATTAATGGCGTCCTCCTCAGTTGAGCTGTGTTGTAGATAGCTCAGTGGTGCTAGGTGAGCTGACAGTAGACGCACGCTTTCTTATGCAAAGTGGTACAGTTGGTGGGTGTAGTTTGGTAGAAAGAAAATAGTTCCTATGAAACTGTTCACAACAAGGTCTGTGGATTATCTTGAGTAACTGGGTCATGATTTCTGGAAAGAGACGTTGCTGTTGAGTTTTTCAAATGAAGGCGGACATCTCTACGGCCAATATCTGTGACACTCTAACAATCTAGACTGATAAACAGCTCTACAGGTTATAGGAAAAAATATCTGTTTTGTCATTTTGGGGTGAACTTTTCCTTTAAATTTTATATTTGTTAAGCATTTTTACGTCAAAAGCGGCACAGTGGTGCAGTGGTTAGCATTGTTGCTTCACAGCAAGAGGGTTCCTGGTTCGAATTCAGGGGAGGGGGTTTGAACCTTGGGGCAGGGGAGCTCCTCTGTGTGGAGTTTGCGTGTTATTCCCGTGTCAGCGTGGGTTTTCTCCAGGTACTCCAGCTTCCTCCCACAGTCCAAAGACATGCAGGTTAACTGGTGACTCTAAATTGGCTATAGGTGTAAATGTGAGTGTGAATGGTTGTCTGTCTCTATGTGTCAGCCCTGTGATAGTCTGGCGACCTGTCCAGGGTGCTCAATGTCAGCTGGGATAGGCTCCAGCACCCCCCGTGACCCCCAACAGAATAAACCACAGGAGGATTGTGGGTGAACTGACCCTTTAACACACACTGATCAGCCTAACATCTTGTTAACACTCTGAGCAAACATCAAGTTAAGTTAACACTCCTGTTTTACTGCTTGCCTGATTCTGACAGATTGCCAAAGTGGGTTTGAACAAGTTGACTCTAAGCTGCCGAATGTACCGAGACGTTGTGGTGGGTTTGTTTAGGAATCCTGACAGCTAAATAGAGTTGCAGAGTGATGGCGCTGTAATGTGTGAACTGTCCCTGGTATTATCAGTTATTGTAGTGTAAATCCACCGCCTGGCAGCCGCAGGACGCCTCTAATCCTGCCAGTGATGGAGAGTCAGAGCCAGTTCAGCCTGTCAGGCGTCCCTCTGAGTGTGTACGTGTGTGCTTGTGTGTGTGTGTGTGTGTGTGTGTGTATGTGTGTGTGTGTGCAAATCTTTGTGTGCATCCTCCTGGCTCTGTTTGACTAGACTGTAGTATATTTAGGAGGAGCAATGTCAAGCTTTGTTGCATTCAGTTGGGAATTCTGTCGGTCTCCGGTGAGCGCTATTTTGAGATCTAAGCCCTTTCAGTCGATCCCACCTGTGGATTGTGTGTGTGTGTTTGCCTGTGTGTGTGTGTGTGTGTGTGTGTGTGTGTGTGTGTGTGTGTGTGCCTACCAAAGAGTGCAAAATCTCCCAGTATCATGCAGACTTACTTTCTAAACTGGCTTTATGAACTTGAGTGAAATATGAACTGAAAAAAGACGTACAGTAGTCCTGACGCGTGTGTGTGTTCGAAGTCATTATTCATGGATCTGTCTCTGGCTGATATGATACAGTTTGTGTGAACAGACACACCAGACGGACTCCATATGACTCAGACCGCATGTGGTTCAGTATTAATAGCAGCATTCTCATATGAATCTGTCAGACTGTGGGTGGGTGGTGCAGGATCCTGGGACTGTTTGGGTTAAATAAAGAGGCAAACAAACAGAGGAGAACAATTCAATGAGATCCCAATGAGTCATTAAGGAGGATTTATTCAGTTTGTTTTGCTAAAATTAAAAGATATTGGCAGATAAAATTGTCAAACAGTTTAAAGATAGACAGAATTGTTGGCCATATCTGCTGTTAGAGCTTGTCCGAGTTCATCGTGCTTCATGTTTTGTCTTCAAGCAGCATTTTATTCTGCTCTATTGTGATTCTGAACCTCCATCTTCACCTATCTCCAGGTGTATTTCATCTATGACGAAGAGGTAGAGGAGGAAGACAAAGATGAACCACCTCCTCCAGAACCAATCAAACCAGTCAACGACAGACCCCACAAGTTCAAGGACCACTACTGCAAGAAACCAAAGTTTTGTGACGTCTGCGCACGCATGATAGTGTGTACGTCCATCTTGTTTGTTTCCTCCATGACAACATAACTGAACTCTAGAGCATCATGAGCTGGGTGTAATTTTATTTTACCGTATTTTGGTTTTCCCTTCAGTAAACAATAAGTTTGCACTGCGATGTAAGAACTGCAAAACCAGCATCCACCACCAATGTCAGTCCTACGTGGAGTTCCAGAGGTGCTTTGGCAAAATTGTGAGTTTCATGGTGCAGATTACTGGTTTTAACTCAAACATATACTGCAGAGAATTTTGTTTCAGATATTTATTGTACCTCTCCTCTCCTCTCCTCTCCTCTCCTCTCCTTTCTTCTCTCCTTTCCTAGCCTCCAGGATTCAGGAGAGCCTACAGTTCTCCTCTCTACAGCAGCCAGCAGAATGCCACAGTCTCACAGTTGCTGCCCTTTTGTGAGTCTTACTCATATACATTTTGATTCCCAGGTCCCTGTCACTCCAGTGTAAACACGTCCATGGCAATATTAGGCTCTCAGACCAACTGACATAGTACGAAGAGTGAGGAAGTCCACACATAGAGGAGATTTAAGTGGATTGATGAGTCAAACAAACATAGGATTTTCACCCAGTAGAGCACTGTTTGTATGTGTACTGTGTGAAACCAAAAGTCAGCGTCATTTTAACCCAAACTTTGATCTTTTCATAAGCTTAACAAAGTTAGTCTGGGAACTAAATGAATTTGCAAGCTCATGTTTTATTTGCTCTGGCAGGTAGGTCTGGTCCCCTTCTGTTAAATCAGACTTACAGTCGATTTGTCTGTGATGAGTCCAGTAGCAGCTGTTTCAGACAATGACATGAGCCTTCACGCTTACTTCAAAATACGTGACAACATCATTTTTGACTTGCCACAGCCATCTTGAACCTAGTTTAGTAAAGAGTAACATAGTGTGAGATATTTTTACAACAACCAAAATGGCTGCAGCCAGAGTGGGACTTTCTATTGAAGTAGTATGTTCAAATTCTAATGGCAAAAACAGTAACTCTTGTTAGCAGACATATTGATGCCACACCATCACAGCTCATCTGTGCATGCTGGAGTATGTTTACGCTACACATATCACACATATCACATTTCATTGCTCTCATTGGTTGCAGGTCTATCCAGTTGTGTCCACAGGCATTTTAATCTACAGCTGCTGATAACACCCCATGGAAATTTAAAATGAATGAAGAGGTTCCAGACTGATTTGCAAATGGGGATTGGTCCAACAATGCCAGGCTGTAGCCAAGTAGTTTTGGTGCAGAAATTTAAAGTTTTTAGTATTTTTTTAAAGATTATTTTGCTTTTTGCCTTTATTGGATAGGATAGTCTAAGTGTGAGGGGGGATTACATGCAGCAGAGGCTGGAGTCGAGCCTGCGGCCGCTGCAGCAAGATCATTGCCTTCATATATGGGATGCCTGCTTTACCCACTACGCCAGCGGGTGCCCCGATAGTTTGTTTTGAAAAGACACTGTATGCATGTGACAAGACGAAACGGACACATCCAAAACTGATGCTACAGGGGTACCTAAAGCATAATAGATCTAAGTGTAGGGCTGCTGACCAAGCGGCCATTTATGATTAGTGAGAGTGAGAACATGTTGACATTTTTACAGATTTTCAGTTTACCCTTCATTTTCATTCAGAAATTTGGGGAATTTATTGGAATTTAATTTTGTAAATTTGCTTCAACATGTGTAATACTTTCCCAGCCAGATGTTGTCTTTCAGTTTGTAATTTTGACATTAAAATGAAGCATTTTTGTCAAAGAGCATCTTATTATCTACTCAGCTTACAGTAATGTTTTAGTTGTGTATATGTTGGTCTGAACAGAGTATCTGTTTCCTTGTTCAAATTAAGTATGTACAACAGCTCTAAAAGACTAAACTAAAAGAGACTTTATTGTACAGTTACAGTGACTGATGTACAGTAAACCAGAAATGAATAACATTTTCATGACTATATGGCTTGGTTGTGGTTCACAAAATCAAACGTAACCATCCAAGATTGTAGGAACAGTTGCATTAAAGTTAACCAAACTTAAAAATAACTCACCCACTCACCTGCATGCATCTTTTCTCTGTGTATTTATTGACTGATGACGTCTGACCGGCAGCACAGTCAAACCGCACCGACCCCGTGTTTGAGACGCTGCGTATCGGTGTGATCATGGCCAACAAGGAGCGCAAGAAAGGGTCCGAGGACAAGAAGAATGTGAGTGTGAATACTTCATGCAGCACACATCTGTCTGTCCACATGGTGCAGTAATTCAATGTTTGTTGAAGCATTGTCGACTGTTTCACTAGACTTTGATGTACGGGTAACCCTATAGCCGTGACTGTAGGTTGTCAGGTTGGTCTGCAGAATCTTCTTTTAACTTTATTCATTGTCACAGTGCATTGGTTTTACTAACTTTTTTCTTTTGTCTTCTTCAAATTTATTTTTGCGTTTCTTTAATCAGATTCTTAACGTGATGCTCTGTTACAGACTATGTTATAATAAATTCCATATATTATCTGAAATTGTTCAGATGATGATGATGATGATGGAGGAGGATGAGTCCCAGCCCAAACAGGAGGAAGAAGGAGGTGAAGGAGGTGAGTGTGTCTCTGAGCAGCTATCAGCATTGGAAAGAGTTGCATTGCTAACCTGCTTGATGTTTTTTTCTACCAGCAAACACAGAAGGAGACAAAAAAGGAGACAAGGCTCCTGCTGATGACAAGGTCAGAGAACAATGATGATGTCACTGAAAACTATGATGAAGATAAGCTGTTAATGAATGTTACATCAGTATTTTCTTTGTTTGCGTTCATCAGAGTAAAAAGCCTCAGCCGGGGAAGATCGGCGTGTTCAGTCAGTCTCACTACTACCTGGCTCTGTACCGCTTCAAAGCCATAGAGAAGGACGATCTGGACGTTCAGTAAGCCCGTCACCACTTTACCTAATCTCTCTCAGTGTGTCTCTTTCCTCCTGACTCACACCAAAAATTTTTTTGTGTCATCATTTGATATTTAAATATTTAATATCCTGTTTGTTCCCCAGTGCTGGCGACCGCATCACAGTGATAGATGACTCCAATGAGGAGTGGTGGAGGGTGAGTCCAAGATTTGTTTTCGCATATTACTCACAGAGACGTCAGAGTGATGTTTTTTAATCCTGTCTGCTCTACAAAAGTTATACAATGTTTACCGACAGACATCTGGATGACTTGAGGATCAATTAAGTAGATTTTGGTCATAATCTAGGATTGTGTGTCTGGGGCCACAAGAATTAAGGTGTGCTCATGTGTTCATTTCAGCCCAGTTTTCTACTCAAACATGAATTGGCCTTCTTTAAGTACACGCTGTCTTTTGGAATGAACATCATTTAAAGTCAACTGAACAATACAGTTGATGATTGGCAGTTCTCTGTTCGGATTGACATTGTACATGCTGTGGTGACACCGGTCTGTGCTTTCAAGTCACTCAGGTTTCAAAGCCACACCAGGCAATTATGGTCATGTTTAAATTGAGTCATCTGACAAGTCTGAATTAGAAACTGGAGCTGCGGCACGTCACTGTTAAAGCTTTCACTCCACCAGGGGAAGATCGGAGAGAGGACAGGCTTCATACCTGCCAACTACATAATCCGAGTGCGAGCGGGAGAGAGGGTCTACAAGGTGACACGCTCCTTTGTTGGCAACAGAGAAATGGGCCAAATCACTCTGAAGAAAGACCAGGTTAACACACACACACCTCCACACACACACGCACACACACTCCAATGCAGATGCACAAGAAACCTAATAGTGTTATCTCCAAACTGAATACACTTGAAGAACTGAGAGCTTGAAATATGTGTATATTTCGATGGCTCTGAGGACAGTTGATCCTCGCAGGTACAGAAACACACACACACCCATAACTGCTATATCGTAGGCAACTGGACTTGCTTGAGTTTCTTGAAGACGTTTCGCCTCTCATCCAAGAGGCTTCTTCAGTTCTAACGGACTGGTGCAGAGTCACAGGCTTTAAACTCTGTGTGGGTGTGAACCCTTACAGAGTCGTTAAGGTCACACCGTAAGGACACAACACCCAGGCATTAGCAGAGTAATGCAATTCAATGCAGCCAGGCACGCACGTTGATTTATACATTGGTGAAACAACCACTCCACAACCACATGGCGCAACACAGGAGAGCCAGCTCGTCAGGTCAAGACTTGGCTGTCCATCTACATCTAAAGGAGAAGGGACATTCTTTCAAGGACAGCAATGTTCACATCTCAGCCAGAGATGACAGATCGTTTGAAAGAGGCATGAAAAAAGCCATCTACGTCAAATTGGAACAACCATCGTTAAACAGGGGAAGTGGCCTATGGCACCACTTATCACGCACTTACAATGCAGTCCTGGGATCCCTCCCCAGACAGCTTAACAACCATTCTCACCTGGACCTATCTTACGATACACAAAGTGGCCAGGTGGGTCAACGACTCACATGTGACCTCAATGGCTCTATGGGTTCACACCAGTCCGTTAGAACTTAAGAAGCTTCTTGGCAGAGAGGTGAATCGTCTTCAAGAAACTCAAGCAAGTCCAGTTGCCTACGATATAGCACTTATGTTACCATGACCTGGATGACTGAGAATCTTCACCAACACACACAGTATACTTTACACACAAACACAAAGAAGTAACATCCACACCAACATGCAGCCTGAAGCACTGTATGACCAATTCTCAGATCAGTTCTCTTTTAGATTGTTTTCTTAATTAAAGCCAAACTTAACCCACTGTCCTACACACACTGGAGACCGTTGGAAGTTTCATACACCTTAATAATTAAACACTGATCCAGAGGAGGAGGAGGAGGAGGAGGGCAAAAACAACAAACACAGTAATTATGCAGGTTTTTACACCTGGTGTTAAAAACGTGAATTAAAAGAAAACACATGTTGCTTTCCAGCTCAGTGAACTAAACATGGTGCAGTTATTCATGTAGATACAGCCATCATGTGCGTTGACATGAGAGCTATAAAAGAGATGAATAGACACACACACCCAGACATACACACACACAAGCATGCGTCATGTTGACATGAAAAGACAGATGTTGCAGTGTCACTGATTTATGTTCTGTCACTAACATGTAACCTTGTTGTTGAGCCTCACAGCTGTTTAAATTTAACCCTCGCTGTAAATTAACCTGGACATTAACTTTAAATTCTTGTTCCTCTCATGAAGACATGACAACTATTCAGCTGCTATGTGCCACAGGGCTTTCAGTATGTTATCACTATATGGTGCGAGAGTTCAGATTTGCCACTGCCTCTCTAACAACTCTGCAAATCAAGAGTTGTTCAAGATGTCAAAGTGCTAAATGCAGGTTTTGTGCATACTCTTAAAATTTGATCTCACTTCTGTTTATTTGTGTATTTATTTTTAGCAGATTCTGAATGACTGAGAATGCGTAAAGAAACTTAAAGCACAAACTCCATCTTGACACATGTAAATCTAGCTGTCAAGGTCAAAACCTCTTACGACCTGTCTGTGAGACTATAGAAATTGCTCTACTTGTTGCACACAAATAGTGACACAGTTCTTCTCACAGGCTCCGAACATGTTTGTGTTGAGACTTGTTCTGCATTTATAAATCTGTCGCTGTGTGCTCTCACATGTTGAACTGCAGATTAACGTCTGCTCATGGTTGTGTACTCTCAATAGATTTGTATTTGATAAACCACCATGTAGGATCAAAACAAAACAGCATCAAGGAAAACAACAAGCCTACACCCGCAAAAGACATTTTAAAATTTTCCCAGTCTAAGTGTGCTTGTTTTCTGTGCCCTTAGATCGTAGTAAAGAAGGGTGAGGAGGTAAACGGCTACCTGAAGGTCAGCACAGGACGGAAGCTCGGCTTCTTCCCCGCCAACCTGCTGCAGGAAATCTGAAGTGGACCAGGCTGACGTTGCATCAAACACCTGGCCATCCATCTCAGTTTCATCACCTGCTGTGTGGTTGACACACTTGTTATCGGTCCAAAGCAATAGCTTTAGACTTGAATTTTGATTTCAACACACATTGGTATTTTCGTGTTGTTCATCTGTAAATTTCACACATGACCTTAGGATGCCTGTAGACAGAATACATTGGAAGTGCCAAGTGCCAAAAACCACAGTTCCTCTGATGGCCATTTGAGGCTGGCTCCAGAAGCGAGTCAATCCCCACAGACTTTCATGTTAAAATGCCCGACTTTACAGCAGAAATAAACATATGTACAGCCTGTTACATAAACAGTTTTGGTCTCTGTTGTTAATTTCACCATTTTTTATAGATGATGGCGATGGCCAAAATGCCAAAATAGGATCCACAAAACCAAAGTGTGACATCACTTTTGCTACATCCATTATTTTTATAGTCTGTGGATTTTACTCATTGTACAGAGGCATGTGTTAAATAGGCAGATAGATTACCAAAAAAACAAAAAATAAAACAAAGGTTTGATCTACAAAAACTTCATACAAGCGTTTGGCCAGTGTCAACAAGGCAGTACAGTACACTGGTCACTTTCACTCATTTTATTTCTGTATCTTGAAACCCATTAGTGTTTGATGTTATTGAGTTCAGGTAGTTTATTAACGTTGTTCAGCTCTAAGGGGAGGTAGATCTGTGTGTTATCTGCATAACAGTGAAAAGATATGTTATGTATTGAATGATGTGGCCTAGCAGAAGTAAATAAATAAAGAAGACGATTGGACCAAGTATGGAACCTTGGGGGACACCACAGGAGATGGGAGCTGAGGAAGAAAATGAGTCACTGATAGAGACACTAGTCCTTTTTAAAAAGAGATTAGGCAATAGATCCTCAACAAAGTCACTTCTTTAAGCCGCCTTTGCATTTTTACACAGCATAGCATCAGTAGCGCTTTATAAACAACAACAATGGCATTAACATGTCAGTAACAATATTGCTGTCCCTGTCATATGGTGGCTGATCTTTGTCCTCTGCTCGGAGGTTTAGAAGCTCCCAGACCTCATTGTTTTCCCAATTTGTGGACATTTACAGCCACTGTTCTTCTTCTTTGGGTTAGCTGCTAACTGCTAACACCTTTTTTTGTAAAGCTCCTGCAGAGGGTTACATGCACAACATGTCAAATTGTCACAACATGATCCTGTCTTGACACCGTTTTGGGGCTGTTACTACCTCCTGTGGTGGCTTAAAACCAAGACCACTCTATCCCCCCTTTCTCCAATAGTACCCTATATACAGAACAGCGAGGTGGCATAACTGGTATTCCTGCCATGAACAGGCAGTATACAAGGGGCTGATGAAGGATCTGTTGGATAAACACGAAGAGAACCAGTTTAAAGCAGAATCAGAGCAAAACCAGACAATAAATCACAAATGTAGCAGACTGAATTACTTTTAGCCTCCATACACTTTGTCAGCTGACATGTGCGTCTTCCCATCAGTTATCCTAATGAGAGCAGAAGGAAGCAAAACTTTCTCAGATGAACATTATTTGAGTGGGTTTCATTATGCAGATATGTAATGTAACTGAAGAAAAAGGAGGTGAATCTGTGCTGAATTTGTTAGCGGTTAGTTATAGGAGTCATTTAAAGTGAAAAGAAGAATGCTTTCATTTTCTCACATGTCAGGGAACAAAATGATAGATTCAAATGAGACAGAGGCATTTCCAGAACTTCAAAGGGATGCAGAGCTATTTTCCGTAGCTACCCTGAGTGCAGTGTAATTATCCATAGGAAACGCCGTGGGGATGGTTTGCAATGTAAAGGGACAGCTCAGAGATCAGGTATGCAGGGAATGGCATCTGTATATCTGAAGAGACATTCTACTGGTGAATAACTTGACATGACACCTAGAAAGACAGACACATGTTCACTATGGTTTCTTTTTCTATGCATATCTATTTTTCATCTTGCCTCTGATTGTTGTTAATACAATAAATCCTTTGATTCCTACACATTTGCTCTTTCACCATTCTAGGTTAGATCTTTGAGTCTTCCTCTCCCTGGTTTCCTCTCCCTTTCACTCTCAGGGACCATGTTTGGATGCAGATGATGAGTTGCCTGGTCATGCCTCCTTTCTCCTCTGTTTTCTGTCAGAAGAAAAGGGAGCAGTGCGGCCCAAGCAGGTAGCGCTGCCAGGCTTCAACAGTCCTCTGATTGGACAACAGAGCACCCCTTCAGACACGGGTCACTTCCTCCTGGGAAACAGCCTCTGCTTCATGCCGCTCTGGACCAGGGTGCCGCGTTGGAAGATATCACAGCTGCCATGTTGTCATCCCCGACCCCCTGACCCTGCCACTCCAGACAGGCAGGATGGAGGAGGGGTGCCAAAATGTTTGTGGATTTGAGTGGGTGGATGATTTTATATGTGTGTGTCTGTATATGCGAGTGCACTGGTGAGAGGGCGAGGGCATGGAGGGCATGATGCTGTGGCAATGAATCTGTTCAATTCAAGGGAATTTCATTTTTACTGGGGACAACACACGAGCCAAACTTAGAGTCAAACTGTAGGTAACTTTTTTATTAATATGCTCAAGTTAAAATCAAATGAATGATAACGTTGAAAAAGTAAAATGGTCTCATTTCCAATCTCTATTAAATAATATAGAACAATAATTACAGTTAGTCCTCAAAAGCAAATTTACTCCATTGCCATGGAAACACACTGCAGATGTTTGAAAGGTCACATGCGTCTGAGCTCTACCACAATTTCCACTCCCTGATGGCTCAAAAGTTGAGCTTGTCAGTTTCATTTTTGACCTCGGAGACAGTTTGAAAGTTTATGCATGCACATTTCCACGGCAACAGCCACAGATTGAGCTTGAAGTTGAGACTGTTTTATCAACTGCTGTTTCTAGGGTCACAAATGACCTGTCAAGATCAGTTTTCACATTGCCAAAAAATCATGTAAATTATGTAACAAAGAAAAACAAGGGAGGTGTCATTTGACCTCTGCTGGAAAAATGTTTGGGTAGTTTGAACATTTTCATTTTGAATACCAAGTGCTTAAAAAAGGCTTTCAGTGACAGGTTTTCACTGCAATCAGTAACATTTCAGGACATCAAAAAATGTAATAATATTTTCGACAATGTTTCACTAAATACATTATCAAGTGCAACAAGTGTGTGTAGTTCTGTTTTTTTAAGAACCAGGAAGTCGAAAGAAAAAGTAACATAAATGCATGCAAAATGTAAATTGACGACCAAGAAGGCACAATTTTAAAGGAGCAGTGTGAAAGATTTAGGGGGATCTAGTGGCATCTAGTGGTGAGGATTGTAGATTGCAACCAGCTGAAACTTCTCCTGGTTAGAATTCCTTCTTTGTTTGTTGTTCAGGAGGTTTTTACTGGGAGCTGAATTGTCCATAGAAGTCTTTTCCCCTCCAAAATAAATGGACCAGGTGATTTAGATAGGTAAAAACACAGAATAAAGTAGTTTCATGTTACAAATCAGTGTCGCTTCAATGCTGTTTGGCTTGTCGGAGACAGGCTGTTATCCTTGCACCCGCCAAGGTGTGCTAACCTTTTTTCTGTGGTTACTTAAGATCTAGGGGTCGGTTGCACTAAGCACCTTAAGGTAAGATTTTCCTTAAAGTCAGAGCTAAGGTTTCCTTGAAAAACAAAAAAAAAAATTGCACAAAACATCATCAAGTCTTCTCCTTAAGGTTTCCTTAAAATGTTTACTTAAGGATTTAAGTTTTTCTTGGTCTTATACTTAAGGAATTGCTTTAGGTTTGTTAAACAAAACTTAGCAACCAAAGTAAGAACCAAAACATGAAGTACCCCTGACTCCATCTTAACTATGACATGGTTGAGTTTATGGAGATAAACAAGAAAAATTAAGGCATCCCGAGAAGAATGTTCAACAACCAGGAGAGCCTGATGAACACACTTAATGATGAGCAAATGATTTCACACTTTAAATTTTACAAGAAGTCTTGTTATGATTGTGACTCTCCAGGGTTGGATCACCCAACTTTCAAAGCTGCATTCTTCCAGTTCCTTTACAATTAATGATTGCTCTGCGGTTTTATGCAACAAGATCTTTCCCGTCTGTTATTGGCGAGGTATATCATGTAAGCCTTAAGTGTCAGCTGAAGGCCTCACCAACTCTCCCACACAAGAGCAAGACACAGAGACTTTGGGATGGGTTTGCGTCTTTTTTTTTTTGTCTTGCATCTTTTTGTGGTTTTGTGTCTAACTTTTTCAATTTTGTGTCTTTGTGGTCATTTTGTGGTTGTTTTGCCACCTTTTGTTGTTATTTTCTCTCTCTTTGCAGTTCCTTTGCTTCTCTTTGTGGTCTTTTTAATCTCCTCCTCGTTGGTAGGTGTTAATATGAGTGACATTTTGCAGGTGAAGGTCAGGGGGACCCCTGACACTTTGGGCCCCTGGGTCTTTGTCTGGCAGGCCTGTGCAGTAAACCATCCATGCTGCCACAGTTAACATGCAATAATGATTTCAGCCAACAGAGGTCCCTGTTGCACCAGACATATTGCAAAACACACCGAAATCCTCACTGAACCAACTTCACACACCACAGGGGCCCAGTGTGTGTTTATGGTGAATAACAGTTGTGAGGCTGATGTGCAGTCTGTCCAGACCAACAGATCACAGGTTTGTAAGAAGGAAGAAATTATTTTTTTATTGCTATTGATCATGTGGTTTTAAAAAATTGTGCAGAGCTGCTGGAATGATTCATTTGGTCTCTAGAACACAGTCCATACAGACAAATGTAGACGTTAAATAATGGTTTGTATTAATTAAGTGATCATGTTACAATTAAAGGATCCATGACACATAATTTACAGCACATGTTTACACAAGTGTCGAAAAAGTAATGCAACATTGCGAGGTGTCAAACTGCACTCATGGATGTGCAGAAAGTGACACATCCCTTTTTTAAGAGTGCAGGCTCTGCATCATCTCATTGACCCACCGCATTCAGAATCACATTTAGCATCCAGTCGAAGAGAAAATCCATCTTCTCCTCTGCCAGCCGCTGAGAAATGTAGCAATGTGTGAGGAAAAATAATAACATAAAACTATATTAGAGATCCTCTTTGCCTAGCAGAGAAGGTATTGATTTTTAGAGAAATGTTTCTGAAAGTCTCTTCCACGGGCTTCTCTCAGCCCTCAAAGCAACAAAACATTTTAGGCCTCTCACAAAGCTTATACGGACCAGATTTATTTTTAGAAAGTTTTTTTTTTACTCTCCTGCTCTCTGTCTGTGACATACAGATGTGTGTGAGTGTGTGTGGAATAGTGTGAATGTGTATCAAATCCCATATTTCCTGACAGAACCTATCAAGCGTTAGATTAAAGCTTTGACATGATTCTTTTAATAACTGTTGCAGAATAACACCCCTTTTATTTCCATCCATTTTTCATTGAGGCGCCCAAATTCAATTATCTAATCTGATTTGTATGATTATTAATCTTCATTACTCATACATTCAAAATGACTTTGCAATCTTGTGTGTCTTTTTTTTTCTCTTAAAGTGAAATTGTAATGAGATATGGTAATGTTGGAGATAGGCTCGGTGCAGGGCAGGGGTCAGAGTTATGGAGTAGACAGACAGATAAAGAGATGGAAACAGTTTCCCGTCTGGCATCATTTAAGGTGTTTATATGCACCAGCTGCCAAAATGACACCGCAGGGGAAGATGGTGGTAAGATATTGGCTGCCTCTTACCACAGTACAGTACATAGATGTGTGTGTCTTCAGTTTGTCCATCCATCTGTGTGCAGAGAGAGAGAGAGAGAGAGAGAGAAGAGCGGAAAGCGCTGGCGTATACGTGTTATTTCATGCTTGTGCAAGAATAAATTTAAGATGATGATGACACACACACATAAAGAGAAAGACAAGTTTACCGAGTGAGTCCCGGGGCCCAGAGAGGGAGAGAAAGGGAGAGTGTGGGAGGGAGGGAGAAAAGGCTGGAGAGAAGACTGCAGGGTTGGAACCAATTAGGCCAGGAGAGGATCCCTCCACCTGCACTGTGAGGCCCCCGGGGGAGAGCCCCAGTGACAAGATGAGGGATCATCATCATTACCATTATTTATTTGCTAAGCAGAGGCCGACTCTGGGGCCAATCCTAATAGGATTTGCGAATTACAATGAGCGTCTTGTTTTGGGGGCAGGAGGATGCTTGAGGAGGAGGGGAGGGTTAATGCATGGATTAAAGCAAGCAAGCATTTGGAGGCATCAGCAGCAAATAGGATATGCTAAAATAAATGCCTTTTAATCAATTATGCACACCTATTACAGGCGCCCAAACTCACATCAATAATATATGTGGGGTCCCTGGTAGTTCGGTGTGTTGTGTGAGGAAGTCAGGTCAAACTGACCCCCTGAAATCAATTCTGTTTATTCAGGTGCATCCTTTTTAATTCATAACAAGACCAAGTAATTCATACTATCATTAACATCCATTGCAGTTCAGCCCAGTTTTTGTGCACTGTATCAAATATGAATAGCCCAGGTCTTCTCTGTGCAAACTGATGTGTTCATTGTCACTTATGTTTATTGCTGCCACTGTTGTACATATCATTTATATTAACTGTTACCTTTCTTTCACCCTGTTATTGTCATTTCCTTCCCACAGGTCAGTTCCTACAGTTCCTGTCTTCTTATAGAGTTTTGGTGCATGCATTGAGACATTGCACAGGATGTTTGGCTATACAAATAAACATTTTTCTATTCTTCTAGTCTTTGACAAAGCGCTGCACACATTCAGGAGTGAATACAATTAGATTTCCTGTTAAAACTTCAGTTATAATGCAATATGTGAGAAACAACATGTTCACCAATTTGCAAAGAACATCTGTGCTTTCGGTAGGAACTCACAATGAAGTTCTTTTTTTTTAACTTCTACTTAAGTGCTCCCACTCCTGATAATTTCATAGGCTGAGTGTTCCCAGAAGTGCTTGTGGTTTCATATGTGTATGGTCAATATTTAATGTAGATAGCCTACATTTGTGCTTAGCTGCAATAGAATTAATCTAGGAAATAAAAAAAACAGGAAACAGCAATCTACATCATGCAAACAAACAAACATGACAGCAGCAGTGTCAAGTGAATTAAGTGCAATTAGGCATCACACAAAATAAAGATACAACATAATACCATCTATTAAAAACAAAACAAAACAAACAAACAAACAAACACACAAACAAAAACTCCTCTAGTAGGCTAGACAGGCCACTCAGGAGCGTTGGGGTAACGGAAGTTCAGATGCAGGTCACCCACACAGGTGACCGGAAGTGTCTGCTTAAATGGAGTTAATTAGAAGCCTAGCTAACATAAAAATGGACATTATTTTTTTTTCTCTTAACTCAGCCTCGACACCTGTAGGAGGGAGGCCGTATATTACAACATCTGAGGAGACAGTTTGGGTCAAGGCGAGTGCAGCAAGCGACGAAAATTACCCGTGTTTATTAGTAGATAACAGTCACTGCTAAGCTAACAGTAACGTTAGCCACCAACGGCTAACGTCAACCGCTAACGTCAACGGCAGCAAGCTAACGTTTTTTTTCCGACAAACCGCCCCTTTTGCTGACCAGGTGATGTTGGGACTGTCAAGACAAATAATGTTCACTGTCTTCTGTATAAAAGGTAACGGTTATTATAAATGATAAGATGCTGAAATTACCTTTTCCTGCCACTGTATGCCTTGTTGAAAAGGTTAGCTAGCCATTACTGTAGACTTAAAGAATGTGGTAGAAGTATTTAGCTTTGGAGGTAAGATGGGGGAAAGTGTCCCCTTTAGAACAAAGTCACTTTACTGTAAAATTAAAAAATATTTAGATATGATTTTAGCATGTGAAGGTGTATATGCATAAACACCTTGTAGGTATAGCGCAAAAATGAAAATCTTGTAAAGGAGCATCATACCCCAAAATTGGGGCAAGAAGCCCCTGAGCTACAAAATGAGTGTCTAACAAAATAAAACAAACTAAAATCCAAACCCTGACCAGGGTATGAAATTAACAAAATATTTTGGGGGCAGTTTTGGCCCCCACGGTCTAAAAAATGGGGGCATTTTCAAAATGTTTGGGGGCCATCAAAAAATTGTGTCTTCACTCTTCAGTAGAAACCACTATAAATGAAATAAATAATGGGTTAAATAAAGTTATGGTTGTAAAATATCACTCAGATTTTCTATAATTCAACCAGTTTAAATGTGATGATTTAACCATTAATCTACTGATAGCAGTACTAATGTTTCACCACATTACAGTTACTTTTACTGTTAAAAAGGCCAAATTACTATAAATTCCTTAGATGCAATCCTGGAAGTAAGTTAATTTAAAATTTTAACATTCATTCTACCTTAATTTTTCATTAATTTGTCATTGTGTAGACACAGATCACCCAAGAAATGGTTAATTTATAATTATGGTACAGCAAAGCCCCCTCCCCTTCTCTGTCAGATTACTCTCACGTAATCAGTGCAATCTCGTTGATTATGTCTAGAAAATGAGTTGTAGACGTGACAGTAAATTAATTTAATAAAAATAAAATTATACTTTAATGTCAGATTGTAGTACTGTTAAAAATGTAAATACATATAGTTGTTTCGCAAACTTGGGGGCAATTTTGGCCCCCAGAACATGGCTTTTGGGGACATTCTTGGATGAATTGCGGGCCAAATGGCCTTTGGCCCTTGCTAATTTCTGACACTGACCCTGACCCATTAATGTATTATCTGGAAGCCCTTTAGCCTTTCCTTCAGGCTAATTGTTTTTATTTCAGGATGTCTTCCTCTAGCAAGCTTGCTAAAAATGTTGCCTAACTCTCCCAGCAATGCTAAGGATTGCTAGCTAGCTAATAATGCTAGCAAGCTGCTGAAATAACAGTACTTTACTGCCACTATGTAACATTAAATATGAACTACATAAAGTCACATAGGAGTACATGCACTAGATAACCTAACTAAATAATATTTTTAGGCATGATGCCCCTGGGGGTTTTTGCCTCCTTTTTAAGGGGGCGTCTTGCCCCAAGGAGTCTAACTTTACATTTTTACTTTAAAGGAGAAAAATCTTTTTTCCCCCCTTTTCAAAATAAACTAAATGACTCTCCCCACACGGCTATATTTCAAAGCCAGTTATGTACAACTCAATATAAAGACATAAATTACTGTTTTCCAGTGACAAAACTTATATCAATTTACCTTAAAATGTTCTGATGGAATAGATCTAAAAACAATCTCATCTGAATGCAGAAATTCAGATGAAATATTGCAGTTCACGACAGCGTAGCTATTCAGTACATGTGTTGAGAGCAGATTTAGTGCCGTAAAGTAGGAGAGGAATTACAATGGTGGAGGCATTTTACCCTGGGGGGCACCTTCCCTTTCCTCTTACCATACTTAGCCTAGTTACTAAGTTATGTGGAGCAACCAATACAACGATATTAATGATTCCTCTGTGTCAGTCAAAATTTTATTCAGTAATAGCTAAGCTAGTAGCCAAGTCTTATGAGCAAAATATTATCAATCAATCTGTCAATTTGTCACATGAAATCATAAAATATCAATATCAGTGAAATGCACTCCATCAAGTCAGTTCCATCAATTTGTATATTCAAAACATGGAGAAAAGGAAAATAGAAATACATGTTTATGGGGATTAGGTTTATGATTAGATCTGCACCTAACAGTTATTTTCATTATCGGTTACTTTCTCAGTTGATTAGGGTGTGTTCTTCACTTGTCAAAGGAGAAGGGTGGCTGGGGTGTGACTTTTTTATTTTTTATTTCGACCCTTCCAAAAGCTACAAATATTTTTATTGACCCTCCCTCAGTGACCATAAATGAGTTATTGGAATTTTAAAATCCTGGAGTTCAAAAAGCTATTCATGATGGTTATTTAGTGCAGATGGTTTATTTTTGGTTACCATTTGAATGAGACGTAGAATAAAGTGATTTTGATGAAATACCACTATTTTAAGCTCAGACTTGGTTGTTTCATTGCGTTCATTGCACATGAGTGTTCAAGGACAGTTTGTGGCTTTGATAATTGGTGTAATTTTGATGATTTTTGAAGAAAACATGCCTGCAGGTTTAGAAGGCATGATTATTTAAAGATCTGTGGTAAAGTAAATACAAATACTTAACCATTCTGTGTGGAGTTTGCATGTGCTCCCTGTGTCAGCGAGGGTTTTCTCCGGGTACTCCAACTTCCTCCCACAGTCCAAATACATGCAGGTCAATTAGTGCCTCTAAAACTGGCCATATGTGTAAATGTGAGCATGAATGGTTGTCTGTCTCTATGTGTCAGCCCTGTGATAGTCTAGTGACCTGTCCAGGGTGCCCCGCCTCTCGCCCAGTGTCAGCTGGGATAGATGCCAGCCCCTACATGATTATCGACAGGATAAGGGGTTATGGAAATAAAAAATTGTATGCCCTGCTCCTTATGAAAAAGAGGTAGAGCCTGCACACTTACTCCATGCCACAAACTTTAATGAACAACGTTTCGATCCTAGAGGGATCTTCGTCAGGTCTCGTCAGTTGAGCAGTTTGAGCTGTAACAGTACATGTTATATTAGGAGCTTGTATGTTTTGAATGAACCTTTTTCTGAATTTGTACTTTATGCACTGTAGTGGGGTCAAAAGGACAGTATAAAGTAGTGTAAAATTGTACTTCAGTTCTTGAGTGAATGGACCTGCAGCACATTAAGTTTTTAAGACCTCTGTTTTGTCACATTGTAGATAATTTTTACTGAATACGGATGAGCCAGTGCCTCAAACATGAATGGCGTGGTTACTGCTGCTGAGCTTCAAGGGACCTGAACCAAAGTGCACTACTGACTGAAAGCATATTATTATAAGATGACTCAACACCAACACTTGTTATTTCCTTCTATTTTGATGGTGAGTAAAGCCTTTTTTTCTACCACTGACATTATTATGAGTGATTTCTCTTGTATATTAATGTTGTACACCCCTCATATCTGTGGCTGCTCATGGTGTTGAATCCTGTATGTAATGTTAGATGTGTGATATACCTTTGTTCCAATAGAAATTAAATGTCAGAGGTCACTGCTGGATGCAGTTTGATCTGAATGCAAATGTAAAAGCACAAGAGGTTATAAAATGGCAACTTTAGGTCAGTTAAAATGAAGTTATTTTGACGTGTGTGTGTGTGTGTGTGTCAGGGATTGTAAGTATGATCAATGTGTGTGTCCTTGTTATTGCACACAAGGGTTGGTTTGCATTGGGAAAAGCAGTTTCTGTGTGTGTGTGTGTGTGTGTTTGTGGTTGTGTGTGTGTGTGTGTGTGTGTGTGTGTGTACCGTGTCTGCCTGTGATTCAGGTGTTGTGGAAGAGTGACTATAGTTAGTCCATAACTCATGATGCTCTCCATTCAGAAGACACCTTAGGGCCTGCATTACACCCAGTGAGACTCAATCACAGCCTACGCTAAATCGATAATCCTGGAGATAGTTGGTGGGAGGGAGGGAGGGAGAGAAAGATGGAGAGAAAGTGGCTGGGGGAGAGAAAGAGAAGGGGTGGAGAAGAAGGAGGAGGAGAAAAGGAGACAGAAAGTCCTGAGGACGAGGGGGAGAAAGACGAGAGAAGGGAAGAACAGGGCCAGGATGGGAAGATGAAAGATGAGGGCTGGTTTTCCCACAAACTCCCAAAGGCCCCTTTGCTGACTGTGTTTTTATCTGAGGATGAGAGGACATTGTTGAGGTGAGAGGGGAGAAAAGAAAGAGGAGGAGAAGGAGGAGGAGAATGAATGAAACAGAGGAATCATGGGGAAAGACGTGGAGAGAAAGTAGAGATACACTGAAATAACAAGATGTCTTCTGCACACAAAAAACACGGAGGTGTGGCTTAAACTTGTTTGATACAATCTTGACTCAGCTTGCTAAAAAATGCAGAGTCATGTTATAGCGGGTCCCGTGACTTTAGTTTTTTAAGATTTGGAGGAGAGGATGACGTCATTGCAAGTTACATTTTTCTTTTACCATATCACTGATTCTCCAGTGCTTTATGACTCTGTTTTGTTATTTTAGACCTCAAAACTAACAATGTGTCAGTCCATCTCTTTATACTTTGTGACTTCCAGTGAGATTCTCTGTTCCAAGCACATTCTTTCCTATTGAAAAAAATGTATTCCTTTTAAAAAAAAAGGGCTCAGGGAAGGTAAATAATGCATTGGTTGTGGACTAATTTCAGTCATGTATATGGACTCCCAACTGCTCAATCTTGGGCTCGGTCACATAACTATTGGTGAATTTTACAACTTTTAGAACGTAAAAAAATTAAATTAGGACATTTAAGTGTTTGTACTGGAAAGATGATATACCTGAAAAAATCTGGTGATTTATAGACATCTCCTTCATTATGACAGTTTATAGGGAAAAGTCATTTTGGGCCCCATGGCATCATGTGACCGCTCCGAAAGCTGTAATTCCACAGTTTGGCCACCCTGTCAACAGAGGTGAAAATACTCGCAATATAGCTTACACTTAAGCCCAGTTCAGACCAAAGATTCGCAATAAAATGAGTTGAAACATTCAACTACTTGCAATGTACTGTTCTGTAACATTCTAAAAACCTGCTGGTTCACACCTATGCAACTACGTAAGACAGTGTTTCATCTCAGGGCAACAACTCTCTGTAACTCCGCTCTGCTTGCTGGTTTTAAGGCTTATTTTGTGGCTCAATATAAGCACATACAGTGAGCAGCAGCCACCTACCGTCCGACACTGGCACACGTGGGGACGGAAACAGAGGGCTCGGCAGGGACGGAGCACCTGCAGCAAGTGAACATGCTGTCCACGGTCATTTTGACTTGACCAGCACTTCACTACAAACTGATTAGCTGTAGAAACAAGCAACATGCCTTACCTTCTAAAACTAGCCGCCAACAATTTGACCAGCTGAGTTGCAGGTGACGCCATCAGCTGGCTTGAGTCGAGCTCAAATGGCCAGTTCCACCCGCTGCAACTTTTCTCTGCAAAGTTCTTAAAGGGTTTTGTCTCATTGCAAATCATTGGTCTGAATTGGGCTTTAAATTGCTTAGCTTCCATGTTGGACTCCATTCTGCTTTTCCAAACTGAGGACATGCTGACTGACATCTACTGTATGTAGTACACTGACTTTGAATATGAACCCCTTACAACCCCACTTCAAAAAAATCTCACTGTCCCTTTAAGTACACAACTAATATGCAGTATGTTCACACTGAGCTGAGAAAATGGATTTGCATTCATGTACAAGGAATTTATAGACATAAGAAATATATCATTTGGATGGAAATTTTAATAATAACAGCAGCATTAGATAAAACATTTGGCTGTGGCTCACCTGAAACAGCAGGGTAGTGATTAAACATAGAGTTGTTCAGCAAGACACTGAACCCCAAAACTTGTCAGGATGAGGAAAAAAACTTTCTTTGGATAAAATAATCTGCTGAATGATTGTTATGTGGAAGCAGCTATTTGAAATATTTACTGGAAAGGTGGAAAAGGCTCTAAGTTTATGTATCTGATTTGGGTCTGCAGGTCAGTGTTTTTTGTTATTGTTGTAGGAGTGAGCACAGTCAACTTGCTTTTGGTGTTTTTTGTAAAAAACACAGTAGTAAAGAAGAGAGGATGACAAGTCAGGGAAGTGGAGGGTATAAAGTGCTGGTGAGATTCAATCGTTGGCTGGTGGGAGCTGGCGGGACACTCTGTAACTATAAAACAATCTGAGCTCAACAGGGCAACATCAACAGGTTGGCTCAGAGATGGGCAGCAGAAAGTCTCCATCTGTCTCCTTCTTTTTCTTGCTGTGTTTATCCCTCTCTCCATCACCCATCACTCTGTCTCTTCACCCCCACTCCCTCGTTTACTTCTGCTCACACCCTCCGACTCATTCTTGCACCTCGCGGTCTCTTCAGTTCCCCCTTCTCTCCTCACCTTCCTCCCGTCTCTCTCTTTCTGAGTCATATCAGCGTATGCCTCCCCCCTTCCCTCTTTTTCTCTCTCTCTCTTCACGACTTGCTGTTGTTGTTTTTGAGTGATGTGCGGCTGATGGCGAATGCTGGGTGATGACAGATGGATGTGACAAGCAGATGGTTTTGCTTGTCGTCTTTAATCACACAAATTCAGTCGGCCATGAAGCTGGAGCTCTGTCTTGTCAAAGAAACACAAAGTGGAGACAAATTTATCCAGCACGCCATAGATTTTGATACAGAAAATGTGTAGACATTTGTTAGGAGAAGGGTCGAAACGTAAATAGGGGTCTTTGCGTTATGGTTGGCCCTGATACTGATTTGATGAGTGTCGACTGCTGTTGGGTTGCATGGCAAGAAGTTGAACTTTTAATTTGACAGCTGTGATGATATAAAGTTGAAGCGGGGTAAACAATTGCCCTTGTCATTGTGATTCTGGAATTGCTTGACATTATATGCCGAGTGCATTTTTAATACAAATGCAGTATTATGCTAATATGTTTGGTGAGGACACACACAGGCTGGTGCAACTACACATGTAGTTACATTTGATTCATCAGCATTTGTTCCCTTATTCCCACCCATAACCAGTATGACAAGGTTGGGTGATATGGTGATATGGTTTATGTAATTTCATCAGGAGGGCTTGCGATCAGGAATATGGACATGCTTCTTTACAGAACCTACATTTGCATTTTACAATATTAAAATGCACAGGGTAATCTGACAACCTGGTCTCACTCCCAATTTGTCAAATACCAATACTTGGTCAGTGGCCCTCTGCGTCAGATACAGACGCATAGAGGCACCCTTTGGCATCGATATAAGACACATCGAGAAGGGATGTGTTTTGACATTTCAAGCAACTGCCCTAGTTATGAGTGTGAAAGACCACATAGCATGGGTGGGAGCAGAGGTGGATGGGTCCAAAAAACTCTGGACTTTAACCTGTGTGAAACCAAAAGGCAATGGAGTTATTTCAGTGACATCGCAGTGTGCTAGTATGTGTAGCATGTTGTGCTAGTGATTAGGGATGCACCGAATATTCGGTAACCGAATATATTCGGCCGAATATTGCAAAAAAACACACATTCGGTATTCAGTGGAATAAGTTAAAAGCAAGGCCGAATAATAGTGGCATGTTTTGATAACGCAATCAAACAGCGTGCCATGATGGGCGGAATAAAATGTCGGCAGTGTGGCGATCCACCGGCACGGCACTCGCATTTGCGACTAAAAATAGTTTTGAGTGAGCAAAATAGGCTTAAATCATTCAGCACGCTGTGCGAGCAGCCTACAGATCTCAACCACCAGCAGAAACGAAAGGCAAATCCCATCGGTTGTGGGTTGAACGGGGGTCACAGACACAGACAGAAATGAATTCCTGTCAAATACAGCGGCCATCGGCTTACCAGCGACAGAGAAGTCGGCTCCAATAATATCCTCTTCTTGGAGTAAAGACTGCCCAGAAGTACCTGAACAGCCGAGCCAGCCGAGCACAGGTATGTGGCGTGTCAGAGGAGAAACGAGCCGTTCATGGCGCACAAACCTCACCGCACTGTAGGGACTGTTCTTTACTTATGAAGGGGAGGAGGATGGCTGGTTGATTCTTATTTTATTTATTTATTTTATTTTGATCCCCCCTATGTTCATCACTAATTGATGCTGTTTTTGAAGTATGAATAAGTCAATAAGTAATTTATTCCATTGAAATATCATTGATGTATTATAGAAAAGTGATTTATCTTTTTATAAATGACAAAAGGCACATCTGCCTCATTTTAGATGTGGTATCATGATACAACTAAGAACCATGATAATTTCAATGATATAGAACAATGGGAACCAATTTTGGTACCATGACAACACTAATCTGGAGGGGGTTCATCTGCAAAAACTAATGAAAAACTAATCAACAATATTCGGTA